GGGTGGGGGCGTGTCAGTGATCAGGGGACAAAGGGAGGACCCCCCGCCCTGGACTCTTGTGAGCCCCTGCTTGGTGTCTGAGTCCAGAAGTAAATGTGGCCATCTCCAGCCCAGAACCCTCCACGGTTCCCAGCTGACTCAGTGTAAAACCCAAGTCCTCCTCCAGGCCCACAGGACCCTTCACCCTTTGCCCTGTCACGTCTTCCCTCCTCCTGCTTCCCCCCTCGCTTACTCTCTCTGTTTGTTCCGGCCTCATAGACCTTTCTGCCATTTCCTTTTTTTTTTTTTTTTTTTTTTTGAGACAGAGTCTCGCCCTGTTGCCCAGGCTGGAGTGCAGTGGCACAATCTCGGCTCACTGCAAGCTCTGCCTCCCGGGTTCACGCCATTCTTTTGCCTCAGCCTCCCGAGTAGCTGGGACTACAGGCACCCGCCACCTCGCCCGGATATTTTTTTTTTTTTTTGTATTTTTAGTAGAGATGGGGTTTCACCGTGTTAGCCAGGATGGTCTTGATCTCCTGACCTCGTGAACCACCCGCCTCGGCCTCCCAAAGGGCTGGGATTACAGGTGTGAGCCACCACACCCGGCCTTTTTTATTATTTTTTTATTTTTTACTTTTTTAGGCTTACTCTGTAGCCCAGGCTGGAGCGCAATGGCATGATCTCAGCTCACTGCAACCTCTGCCTTCTGAGTTCAAGCGATTCTCCCACCTCAGCCTCCTGAGTAGTAGCTGGGATTACAGGCATGCATTACCATGCCCAGCTAATTTTTGTATTTTTAGTAGACACGGGGTTTCACCATGTTGGTCAGGCTGGTCTTGAGCTCCTGACCTCAGGTGATCTTCCCGCCTCAGCCTCCCAAAATGCTGGGATTACAGGCATAAGCCACCATGCCTGGCCCCTTTCTGCCATTTCTTGGGTGCAACCTCAGGGCCTTTGCACCTGCTGTTCCCTCTGCCTGAAATGCTCTTCCTCTTCTCTCTCTTCCTTCAGGTCTTTGCAAAAGTGTCATTCTTTATTTTATTTTAATTTTTATATTTAGTAGAAATGGGCTTTCACCATGTTGGCCAGGCTGGTCTCAAACTCCTGGGCTCAAGCGATCCTCCTGCCTTGGCCTCCCAAAGAGCTGAAATTACAGGCGTGAGGCACTGTGTCCAGTCAAGTGTCACTTCTTCTGTGAGGCCTTTCCTGACTCCTTTTATTTATTTTTTTTTTTTTTGAGACAGAGTCTCGCTCTGTTGCCCAGGCTGGACTGCAGTGGTGCAATCATGGCTCACTGCAACCTCTGCCTTCCGGGTTCAAGTGATTCTTGTGCCTCAGCCTCCTGAGTAGCTGAGACTACAGGCATGTGCCACTACGCCTGGATAATTTTTATATTTTCAGTAGAGACAGGGTTTCGCCACATTAGCCAAGCTGGTCTCAAACTCCTGGCCTCAAGTGATCCTCCCGCTTCAGCGTCCCAAAGTGCTAGGATTACAGGCACCTCGATCTCCCAAAAGTGCTGGGATTGTGGGCATGAGCCACCACACCCAGTCCTGACTTCTCTGTTAAATGTCCCCCAGCCCCAGGACTGTCACCCCCTTTCCTGTTCCATTTTTCTCCTAAGCACGATTACCCTCTGACCTACCTGGCGACTGTTTGACTTATTTCTCTGTTCTACCAACTTGAATGTCAGCTTTGTAAGGGCAGGAATTTTGTCTGTCTGGTTTAAGGTTGTGTCCTCATTGCCTAAAACAGCACCTGGCACATGATAGGCACTCAAGGCGCCTGTGGTTGAATGCATGAATGCGGCAATGTGTGTGTGAGATGGAGACCCTCAGGATACGTGCTTGTACAGGCATCAGGAAGTGTAGGTTTAGGCCCAGTGTGGTCGCTTACACCTGTAATTTCAGCACTTTGGGAGTCCAAGGTGGGAGGATCACTTGAGCCCAGGAGTTTGAGACTAGCCTGGGCAACATAGTGAGACCCCCTCCCTACAAAAAAGTAGCTGGGCATGGTGGTGTGCACCTATAGTTAACAACTACTCAGGAGGCTGAGGCAGGAGGACCACTTGAGCGCAGGAGTTGGAGGCTGCAGTGAGCTATGATTGCTCCACTGCACTCTAGCCTGGGCAACAGAGCAAGACTCTGTCTTTTTTTTTTTTTTTCTTTTTTTTGAGATGGAGTTTCACTGGGTTGCCCAGGCTAGAAGGCAGTGGCATGGTCTCAGCTCACTGCTACCTGTGCCTCCCAGGTTCAATCCATTCTTCTCCCTCAGCCTCCCGAGTAGTTGGGATTACAGACCCATGCCACCATGCCCAGCCAATTGTATTTTTAGTAGAGACGGAATTTCACCATGTTGACCAGGCACCCTGTCTCTACCAAAAATACAAAAATTAGCTGGGTGTGGTGGTGCATGCCTGTAATCCCAGCTACTTGGGAGGCTGAGGCACGAGAATCGCTTGAACCCAGGAGGCGGAGGTTGCAGTGAGCTGAGACTGCAGAGCGAAACTCTGTCTGGAGGTTGCAGTGAGCTGAGACTGCAGAGCGAAACTCTGTCTAAAAAAAAAAAAAAAAAAAGGGGGAGGGGTGGGGGGCGGGGGGAGAGAGAGAGCAAGAGAGCGAGCACTGTATATGGAGGGACAACCCTAAATCTGCTGATCAAGGAGGGCTGCTGAGACTTGAATAAGGACAGAGAATAAGGACAGGAAGGGAATGATGTTAAATTGTGAACAACGTTCCAGGCTGCAAAAACAGCAGGTACAAAGGCCCTGAGGCTGGAACTTGCTTCGTGTGAGGAAGTGCATGGGAGGAGGTGAGGGCAGGAGGGGATATGGCAGAGAGCGCAAGTTTTTATGGACGGTGGGTGGATTTGGGCTTTTCCTCTAAAGGAGGTGGGAGCCAAGGAAGATTCAGGGCAGAGGAGGGAGGGAGGGATGTGAACTGACTCGGATGTTCACAGGCGCCCTCTGGCTGCTGTTGGGGAGACTAGACCTGGGGTTGAGGATGGAAATCCAGAGAGCAGGGAGGCAGCTGCTATCATCCAGATTCTTGAGCTGGGAATTCAGGGAGGGTCTCGGGGCAGCAGGGAGTAGCGGGGAAGTGGAGGAATTCAGGATCTAAACAGAAGAGCAGACAGGTCTGGCTGATGGATTAGATCTGCTTAGATGGGTTGGATCTGCTGGGGTTTTGTCTGAGGATGTGGAAGCTGGGGTTTCCAATATCCAACAGATGGGAAGGCAGTTAGTGAGACGTTTCCCTCACCCATCTCACCTCCTTGCACCCTGCTCCGTTTGCTTTTTTTTTTTTTTTTTGAGACAGTTTTGCTCTTGTTGCCCAGGCTGGAGTGCCGTGGTGCGATCTTGGCGCACTGCAACCTCCACCTCCCAGGTTCAAGAGATTCTCCTGCCTCAGCCTCCCAAGTAGCTGAGATTACAGGCCTGTATCCCCACACCCAGCTAATTTTGTATTTTCAGTAGAGACGGGGTTTCACTATGTTGGTCATGCTGGTCTCGAATTCCTGACCTCAGGTGATCCATCCACCTTAGCCTCCCAAACTGCTGGGATTACAGACGTGAGCCACCGCACTCAGCCTTCCTTTGCTTTTGCAAAAGGTTGCTTTAATACATCAGGCAGGGTCCAGTCTCAGAGCTGTTGCGCTTAGATCTCCTCCTCCACCAGGCTTTCCCTTTAGGCAACCCCTCCTCTCAAGCTGCCCCTGCACAGACCTCCATGTTCTTTACCTAGTTTGCTGTTGTTTTTGTTTTAAGAGACAGAGTTTGCTCTGTTGTCCCCAGGCTGGAGTGCAATGCTGCGATGATAGCTCACTGCAGCTCCAAACTCCTGGCCTCAATTGATCCTCCCTCTTCTGCCTCCCAAGGAGCTGGGATTACAGGGGTGAGCCACTGAGCCCAGATTTACAAAATATTTTAAAAATTAGCAGGGCATGGTGGGTCACACCTGTAATCTCAGCATTTTGGGAGGCAGAGATGGATCACTTGAGGCCAGGGGAGACCAGCCTGGGCAACATAGCGAGACCCTGACTCTACAGAAAATTTAAACATTAGCCAGATGTGGTTCTGTGCACTTGCAGTTACTTTTTTTTTTTTTTTTTTAGAGACAGGATCTGGATACATTGCCCAGTCTGGAGTGTGGTCTTGAATTCATGGCCTCAAGCAGTCTTCCCGCCTTAACGCAGGCCTCAGCTGCCTCACCAGTCCTACTATTATTTTTAGTACTTAACATTGTCTAATATACTCTATTTATTCATCCTATACAGTATGTTTTTTTTGTTTTGTTTTGCTACTGGGGTAGGGATTTTTGTCTGTTTTGTTCCTAAATGTATTCCCAGTGCCTAGAAAGGGGGCTGGCACACATTTGTGCATAGTACCTAGTGACTTTTTTTTTTTTTTTTTTTAAGACAGAGTCGCTGTCACCCAAGCTGGAGTGCAGTGGCGTGATCACAGCTCACTGCAGCCTGGAACTCCGGGGCGCAGGCGATCTTGGGATGACAAGCCCTTGCCACCATGCCTAGCTAATTTTTGTATTTTTTGTATAGACAGGGTCTCTCTGTGTTGTCTAGGCTGGTCTCCAACTCCTAGGCTCAAGCGATCAGCCCACCTCGGCCTCCCAAAGTGCTGGAATTACCAGCCTGAACTGCCACATCAGGCTTGTTTTTATTTATTTATTTATTTTTGAGATGGGGTATCACTTTGTTGCCCAGGCTGGAGTGCATGGGAGCGCTCATGGCTCACTGCAGCCTTGAACTCCTGGGCTCAAGTGATCGTCCTGCCTCAGCCTCCCAAATAGCTGGGACCAGAGATGTGCACCACCACGTCCGGCTAATTTTTAATTTTTTTGTAGAGATGGGGGGGGTCTCCTCATGTTGCCCAGGCTGGTCTCAACTCCTGGTCTCAAGCGATCCTCTCGCCTCGACCTCCCAAAGTGCTGAGTTTGCAGGCGTGAGCCACAGCGCCCGGCCTCGCTTGAATGAATGCGTGAGATGTGTTATCTCGGGGGGGCGCCAGGAGCTCGGTCTTGAAGCCAGAGTGGGATCACCCTGGGGCCCTCCAGCCGCGGGGGGAATGAGATAGGGATGGGAATCATGGGCCCGGGACACCGCGGGTGTAGACGCGCGCATCCCCGCGTGGAAGCAGAGGGGTCTGGCCGGGCCCCAGCACCTCGTCTTCCTCCCGTTCCTCTTCTGCCTGCAGGTCCGCCGCCATGAGGAGGCCCTGGCTGCGTGCGCTGCAACTGCTGCTCCTGCTGGGCGCGTCGTGGGCGCGGGAGGGTGCCCCGCGCTGCACCTATACCTTCGTGCTGCCGCCGCAGAAGTTCACGGGGGCCGTGTGCTGGAGAGGCCCCGCGTCCACGCGGGAGGCGCCCGAAGCCGCCAACGCCAGCGAGCTGGCGGCGCTGCGCATGCGCGTTGGCCGCCACGAGGAGCTGTTGCGCGAGCTGCAGAGGCTGGCGGCGGCCGACGGCGCCGTGGCCGGCGAGGTGCGCGCGCTGCGCAAGGAAAGCCGCGGCCTGAGCGCGCGCCTGGGCCAGTTGCGCGCGCAGCTGCAGCACGAGGCGGGGCCCGGGGCGGGCCCGGGGGCGGATCCGGGGGCGGAGCCTGCCGCGGCGCTGGCGCTGCTCGGGGAGCGCGTGCTCAACGCGTCCGCCGAGGCTCAGCGCGCCGCCGCCCGCTTCCACCAGCTGGACGTCAAGTTCCGCGAGCTGGCGCAGCTTGTCACCCAGCAGAGCAGTCTCATCGCCCGCCTGGAGCGCCTGTGCCCGGGAGGCGCGGGCGGGCAGCAGCAGGTAACCTCGCAGCCTCCCCGGATAGCAGCATCGTCTGTGAAATGGGCATTTTGCAACCCCAATCCACAGTTCCGAGATCCGCAAAACCCTGAAAACCGGATTGCTACTCGCCCCTTCTGGTAACTTATTTGGGTCAAAAAGTGACTGGTGGCTATTTATAGCCTTTATTATCCACTTAATGTGAATAGTCATAGGATCCTATAATTAAGCATATCATTATCACGTAAAGACCAAAAACCCCTTTGGGAGTGTTATGTATATTCTGTACGCACATGCATATACATAACCCTCACTATGTCACTGTGTCTAAATCCAGCCGTGTTATTCTGAATTCTGGAACGTGTCCGGGTCTGGGTTTGGGATAAGAGAATGTTGCTCTGTGACAGTCCCTACCTTACAGGGTTGGTGAGAGGAGTCAGTAAGTTAAGACACTGTTGGATGTGTTCTTATTATGCCTACTTTACAGAGAAGGAGGCTGGGGCACAGATCAATTAAGCCATGAGCACCAAGAACCAGTATTTAAGCCCAGCTCTGTCTGCACTTTATTTTTTTAATTTTATTTTTGAGATAGAGTCTTGCTCTGTCTCCCAGGCTGGAGTGCAGTGGTGTCATCTTGGCTCACTGCAGCCTCCACTTCCCAGGTTCAAGCGATCCTCCTACCTCAACCTTCTGAGTGGCTGGCATTACAGGCGTGAGCCACCACACTCAGTTAATTTTTTTTTGTACTTTTAGTAGAGACAGGGTTTCACCATGTTGGTCAGGCTGGTCTCGAACTACTGACCTCAGGTGATCTGCCCGCCTCAGCCTCCCAAAGTACTGGGATTACAGGCGTGGGCCGTCGCACACAGCCTGTCTGCACTTTAAAGCCAAGTTGTTTAGCTTTTGGTGAGGATTATTCCTGGGGCTGGGATACCCCCACTGCCAGATGTCCAGGTCATTTGGGAGCTGGGAGATTTATCCACTATCTCTGCCCCTGAGACCAGGCCTCCTGGCCTGAGGGTTAGTGCAATAACACCTGACTTTTTCCATCACCCCAGGTCCTGCCACCACCCCCACTGGTGCCTGTGGTTCCGGTCCGTCTTGTGGGTAGCACCAATGACACCAGTAGGACGCTGGACCCAGTCCCAGAGCCCCAGAGAGACCAGACCCAGAGACAGCAGGAGCCCCTGGGTTCTCCCATCCCTGCAGGTCAACCTGCTGTCCCCACCAAGCCTGTGGGTAAGTCGACAGCAGGGCTGAGGAATTGTGGGTAGAGGCAAATTGAGGAGTCAGGATTTTAGTGGCATATTTCTCTTATCGTGAGAGGACCGGAAGAAATGATTCTGATTAAAAATAAGACCAAACTTCTAAGGTGTGAAAATAGGAGAAACAAGAAATAGAAGAGGAGGGACTCTTATTTTAGTGAGGCGATTGTAGATTTAGGACTGCTACTTTGGTAAGAGTTTGACTGGTTCAGAGTACCATATTCAGGACTTACATTCTGGTGAGGAGACCATAAAAACCAGGGTTTAAGAACCCCAGACTTGGCCGGGCGCGGTGGCTCATGCCTGTAATCCGAACACTTTGGGAGGCCGAGGCGGACAGATCATGAGGTCAGGAGATCGAGACCATCCTGGCTAACACAGTGAAACCCCGTCTCTACTAAAAATACAAAAAATTATCCGGGCATGGTGGTGGGCGGCTGTGGTCCCAGCTACTCAGGAGGCTGAGACAGGAGAATGGCATGAACCCGGGAGGCAGAGCTTGCAGTGAGCCAAGATCACGCCACTGCACTCCAGCCTGGGTGACAGAGCGAGACTCTGTCTCAAAAAAAAAAAAAAAAAAGAAAAAAAGAAAGAACCCCAGGCTTGACATTTCCTCTGGTTAGAGACAAGGGACCCAGATTCTTACTCAGGTAAGGAAATGGTTACTGGGGCTTGAATTCTAGTGAGGAAATGGGAGAGGCAGGCCTCTTATGCTGGTGAGGAAATGGGAGAGGCAGGACTCTGGTAGAAAAGTGGGAGAGGCAGGACTGTTATTCTGGTGAGGGGACCTGTGAGAATCTCGACTCTTGCTCCAGTAAGGGATTGGTCAGCCCAGGCTGTGCCTCCCACATATCCCTGTGCCCACAGGCCCATGGCAGGATTGTGCAGAGGCCCGCCAGGCAGGCCATGAACAGAGTGGAGTGTATGAACTGCGAGTGGGCCGGCATGTGGTGTCAGCATGGTGTGAGCAGCAGCTGGAGGGTGGAGGCTGGACTGTGATCCAGCGGAGGCAAGATGGTTCAGTCAACTTCTTCACTACCTGGCAGCACTATAAGGTAGGCACAGGTGGGCAGAGGCAGGGAAGGGGAGGGAGCCTGTTCTGGCTTCCTGACTTTCCTGCCCTGCCAGGTGGGCTTTGGGCGGCCAGACGGAGAATACTGGCTGGGCCTTGAACCCGTGTATCAGCTGACCAGCCGTGGGGACCATGAGCTGCTGGTTCTCCTGGAAGACTGGGGGGGCCGTGGAGCACGTGCCCACTATGATGGCTTCTCCCTGGAACCTGAGAGCGACCACTACCGCCTGCGGCTTGGCCAGTACCATGGTGATGCTGGAGACTCTCTTTCCTGGCACAATGACAAGCCCTTCAGCACCATGGATAGGGACCGAGACTCCTATTCTGGTAAGGAGAACTCTTATTCTGGTGGGAGGATAGGGGAGGCGGGACTCCTGTTCTGGTGAGGGAATGAAAGGAGGTAGGGTAGGTAAGACGCCCCTCTGGTAAGTATTAGGATAAGCAAGCTTTTATTCTGTCAAGAGAACAAAGGTCAGGACTTTTATCCTGGTGGGGGTATGGGGAGTCCAGATTCCTTCTCTGCTGAGGCAAAAAAAGAATCAAGACTCCTGTTCAAGTGAAGGGCAGAGGGTGAGAGCTAGTACTCTTATCTAGAAAGGAAGTAGATAATTTTCTTTTCTTTGATAAAGGAATGAGTGGTAGACTCCTAGTTTGCAGAAAAAGTGGGAAAGGTATGACTCGTACTTTGGTAAGGAGATAGGGAAGGAATTAAGGCTATTACTCCGAAGAAAGTTGGGGGGCCAGGGCTCCTATTTTTTTGCTGAGGAGATGGAAGATCAGGGCTTGTATTAAATAAGAATGGGAGGGGCCAGGGGATACCTGGCAAAAGCCTTGCACTGTGAGGTGCAGGTAGAGACTTTTATTCTGGTGAGAGGACATGGACTCTCTCTCTCCCCTCAGGTAACTGTGCCCTGTACCAGCGGGGAGGCTGGTGGTACCATGCCTGTGCCCACTCCAACCTCAACGGTGTGTGGCACCGCGGCGGCCACTACCGAAGCCGCTACCAGGATGGTGTCTACTGGGCTGAGTTTCGTGGTGGAGCATACTCTCTCAGGAAGGCTGCCATGCTCATTCGGCCCCTGAAGCTGTGACTCTCTGTTCCTCTGTCCCCTAGGCCCCAGGGGACATTGGTCAGCAGGAACTCAAGTTGTCCTGGCCACACCTTCTTTGTGGCTCAGTGCCAATGTGTCCCACAGAACCTCCCACTGTGGATCTGTGACCCTGGGTGCTGAAAATGGGCCCCAGGAATCCCCCCCTGTCAATATCTTGGCCCCAGATGGCTCCCCAAGGTCATTCATATCTCGGTTTGAGCTCATATCTTATAATAACACAAAGTATCCACAGACTGTGTCTGGTTTGTATCTGCACCTGGCAGGGGTCACTCCCTGGGCCCGCCCTCCTCGTCCTCCACCTCTTCCTCTTCCTCCTCCTCCTCCTTCAGGTCCTCCAGGATGAGGTTGTCCAGGTCTTCCAGGAGGCCGCCCTGGCTCAAGCAGGTGGCCACAGTGGAGCCACTGCTAATGTGAGGGTTGCTGGGGTGGAGCACTTTGGGCAGGTGGTTCTGCTTCCGGCTCTTGGGGTGAGCACAGGATGTCCCAGGCACGTGGGGCTCTAGGGAGGGAGAGGTGCTGCAGACATGGGACTCGAGGTCCCATGAGAGTTTGGGCAGGAGGGGGCTGAGGCCACGAGGGGCTCTAGGGAGGAGCTGAGGCCACAATATATGGGGACCAGCACAACTGGACATTCAGGGATGTTGAAGATACAGGAGACCTGGGGACATGGGGGTCACCTGAGATTACAGGGGACAAAACAGGGGCCCCAAACCCAGAGACCATGGGGGCAGAGGCCATGGAGACCCTCAGGCATGGGCCACTGGGGTGAAACCTCAGAGCCTCGTGGACAAGACCACGGAGACTGGGGGGCCATGGAGGCCACGTAGAAGCAGTGGCTGCTGCGGTGGGAGATGAAGTGGACTGAGTGGAGATTTGGGGACTTAAAGGCACAGAAGGGGACAAAGACTGCCCAGGATGTTGGAGGAGAAAAGCCTCACCTCGCCGGTTGTAGCAGTCCGCGGCCGAGCAGGAGTGAGTGTGGGTGCTGCGGCGATCCGGGTCCCGGTCCCAGCGCGGGGGGAGGATCCGTGTTGGATACACGGGGAAGCCGCACCCGTAGCAGGGGGACGGGGACCCCATCTGTGCCCAGCCCCTGGGGGCGGGCAGGGCTGTGAGGGTCCGAGGGCGAGGCTGGGCCAGGGTGGGGCCAGGGCAGGGAGGGGCAGGGCTGGGGTGGGGCAGGGCTGAGGGGGAGCTGGGGGTCAGCGCCCTCACCGGAAGTTGTGCCGACACTTCGGGCAATGGAACTCAGCCAGGCCCCACATCTTGTCAGCTGGCACTGGCTCGTAGCGCTTCCGGCATTTCCGGCACCGGGATACCTGGTGGTGGTGGGGGGGGTGTGCAGAGAGGGGACCAAGGATTGTCAGAGGTGTCTGAGGTTGGGGTCAGGGCTAGCAGTGTGCTGCAGTGGCTGGCCTCAGCTTGAGCAACCCAACTCAATCAGTGACTTCACATGGTTAGCCTCATATTGACCATGGTGGGAATACTTACACCACAGAAATTGGCAAACACTACACATCTTGGCTTCCTGCCTCTTTTGAAAGAACTAGTTAAGCATTGACCAGAAGCGAACTACTGGTCAGGACGTTCAGAGGCCAGATTTGGGGCTGTGTTTTTGAGGTCAGATTTGGTTTCTTTTCTTTCTTTCTTTCTTTCTTTTTTCAGAGACAGAGTCTCACTCTGTCATCCAGGCTGGAATACAGTGTTGTGATCATGACTCACTGCAGCCTCCACCTCCTAGGCTCAAACGATCCTCCCACCTCAGCCTCCTGAGTAGCTGGGACCACAGGCACACACCGCCACTCCCAGCTAATTAAAAAAAATGTTTTTGCCAGACGCAGTGGCTCATGCCTGTAATCCCAGCACTTTGGGAGGCTGAGGCGGTAGATTGCTTGAGCTCAGGAGTTTGAGACCAGCTTGGGCAACATGGCAAAACCCCAACTCCACACACACACAAAATACAAAAATTAGCCAAGTGTGGTGGCGCAGGCCTGTAGTCTCAGTTACTTGGGAAGCTAAGTGGGGAGGATCATCTGAGCCCAGGAGGTGGAGGCTGCAGTGAGCTATGATCCCGCCACTGTACTCCAGCCTGGGTGACAGGGCGAGACCCCATCTCTTCAAAACAAAAATTTTTTTGGAGCCAGGGTCTCACCCTGTCACCCAGGCTAGTCTTAAACTCCTAGGTTCAAGCAATCCTCCCCACTTAGCCTCCCAAAGCACTGAGATTGCAGCCATGAGCCACTGCGCCTGGCCAGGTTTGATGTCTGTAGTAGCTGTTCAGTTGTGGGGTCAAGGGTCAGGCTCTGGGGTAAGGAGGTATTGGGCTTCTCACATTTAAGGTCAGGGGTTGGGATCAGAGATGAAGGCTGAGCTCTGAGTTTGGAGGTCAGTGATGGAAATCCTTAGGTCAGAGGTACAGTCACTGAGGACGGGAGTCAGGAGTGGAGTTCGGGACAAAGTCAAGGTTAAATTGTGGGCCACTACCTCCTTCCTCTGGGGCACGCGGCGCCACCAGACGTGGTCGCAGGAGGAGCAGGCAAACTGCCGGTCCACAGCAGGGATAAGGTCATCCTGGGCGCGTTGAAACATGCGTAGGTTGGCTTCTGTCAGCGGCAGGAGGGAGGTCGCCACTGCCTGTGGAATGGGGATGAGGTGGAGGGGGGTCACCCCTTCAACATAAGCATCAGCCCTCCTCTCCCTACAGACGAATCCTCCTCCTGCCCCAGGGAATATCTCCCCTCCTGCCCTAATGGACATCCTTCCGTGCCTGCAGATGTCCCCCTCCCTACTTCCCCATCTCAAGCCCTAGCCACCAACTCACCTGAATGTCCCGGTCCTGTTTCATATCTTCTGGTGGATCCTGGGTGGAGATAGCAGGGGCAGAAACTGGGATGGGGCTCAGGCCTCTTTTCCACCTGTTTGGTGTGTTGGGAGGGCCCCGGCCGCAAGGAGAATAGGGTGCCCCTAGCTCGCCAGGAGCTCACAGAGCACGGCCCACATATTGAGAGCCAGGTGTGTGGTCTCAGTTGTCCTCATAGCAGCCCTGAGAGGTGGGCACACCTGTTACCTTATTGCTCAGATGGGGAAACTGAGGCTTAGGAGGGCTTGCCTGAGTGAGGCCAGCCTGACCCCCGTACTCACTTCCTGCCTGCAAATGCCACATGCTTGTTGGTGTTGTGACAATATCGCCCTTTTGAGGCCACGTTGTGCTCGGCTAAGTGGTGGGGATCTGGACTGAGAGAGATGTGGGTTCGAATCCCAGCTCTATCACTTCCAGCTGTGGGGACTTGGGCAAGCCACTCCCTGCCTCCTGGGTTCCCACTGACAGGCATGTTAGAGCCCAGGCTCTGACTCCAGGTGGCCAGGGTTCAAATCGCAGCTGCCACCTGCTTGCTTCGTGAACCTGGCAAGTGACTTCATCCTCAGTTTGTCTGTGAAATGGGGATAAATAATAGGACTTGTCTCTTGGGGTCACTGTGGCGATGAAATAAATCAATTCCTGGAGTCTTGCCATATGGGAAATACTCAATGAATGCCACCCTCTGCTATTATTATTATTATATTTTTGAGATGGAGTTTCGCTCTTGTCGCCCAGGCTGGAGTGCAATGGCGTGATCTCGGCTGACTGCAACCTCCACCTCCCAGGTTCAAGTGATTCTCCTGCCTTAGCCTCCCAAGTAGCTGGGATTACAAGCATGCCCCACCATGCCCAGCTAATTTTTTGTATTTTTAGTAGAGACGGGGTTTCACTATGTTGGCCAGGCTAATCTCGAGCTCCTGATCTCAAGTGATCTGCCCGCCTCAACCTCCCAAAGTGCTGGGATTACAGGCGTGAGCCACCGCACCCGGCCCCTCTGCTATCATTTTTATCATACTTTTATATGTATAAATGTAGACTATGATACATATTTTACTATACTCTGGGTTTTTTTGTTTGTTTTTTGTTTTGTTTTTGAGACGGAGTCTTGCTCTGTTGCCCAGGCTGGAGTGCAGTGGCGCGATCTTGGCTCACTACAAGCTCTGCCCCCCGGGTTTACGCCATCCTCCTGCCTCAGCCTCCTGAGTAGCTGGGACTACAGGCGCCCGCCACCATGCCTGGCTAATTGTTGTTGCTGTTTTGTATTTTTAGTAGAGATGGGGTTTCACCATGTTAGCCAGGATGGTCCCGATCTCCTGACCTCGTGATCTGCCCACTTTGGCCTCCCAAAGGGCTGGGATTACAGGCGTGAGCCACCGCACCTGGCCTTTTTTTAAGACAGAGTTTCACTCTTGTTGCCCAGGCTGGAGTGCAATGGCGTGATCTTGGCTCACTGCAACCTCTGCCTCCCAGGTTCAAGTGATTCTCCTGCCTCGGCCTCCCGAGTAGCTGGGATTACAGGCATGCGCCACCATGCCCAGCTAATTTTGTATTTTTTAGTAGAGACGGGTTTTTCCGTGTTGGTCAGGCTGGTCTCAAACTCCCGACCTCAGGTGATCCGCCCGCCTCAGCCTCCCAAAGTGTTGGGATTGCAGGCATGAGCCATGGCGCCAGGCCTATTATACTGTAACAGCCCTACACTGAGCCTTTCAGGCAGGCGAAATCCACAGTGTTCCCATCACCAAAGCTTTCAAAGAAGCAAAGTAGCCATGATGCACCTGTGCTTCAAAGCCATTCATTCATTCATTCATTCATTCAACACAAGGGTTCCCTTCCCCTGCCTCTCTCTCCTCCCCAATCCCCTGCTCATCCCAGCCTTTCTAGAGACTGCCACTAACAACCCTTCCCCACCTCCCAGCCTTTGCTCATGCCATTCCCTCCCATACCCTAAGGCCCCTGCCTTTCTTTCCCTTTCCCCTCCCAAGGCTCACTCCTCTCCATCCTTTAAGACTTGGTACCTCCTCCTCCAAGAAGTCTTCTCTGACCTCTGCCCCCCCCACAATGGCCATAATCCTGACTCCTTTCATTGCCCAGTTTCATGGCTGTGCGCCTTTGAATACAA